TGTTGTAGACATACATCCAATGATTACATTCTAAAATTCTTATTAAACTTCATTCTGTGCTTCATCCTGGTGGTAACTGATAAACATGCAAACACGAGTACAGGCAAACACATTCACAGCCTTCATCTTTTGGCGGTGGGCAATAATCAAAGAATGCTAAATATCAATAAGAGCACCAAATCTATAGTCACTAACATATATGTTTTAGAATGTGTAGAGTCGAGCTGCCTAAATAAAATAGGGAGATACAGCCTTCATCTGAACAAAAACAGGCACCGTTTCTTCTAACACACTATGCACTGAAGTGAAATCACTGTCACTTGACTCATCGTGAAAGCAGAAAGCCTTAGCCTGAAGCAGCGCCTCCACTCTACATCCCTAATGTCTACCATTAAGGCTGTTTTGACAGAAAATTATGTGGCACCTTTCTTTTAACAGTGGGATGCCGTCCACCCACTCTGTTCTTGTGACAGCATCAGAGATTGTGGAGGTTGAGAAGAAATTTTTATTATCCTCATTATTTTTTGATGGGAGTACACACTAACAGGCAAAGATGTGAACATATACACACTTTTACGCACTTCACTTGTTAAAACCTTTTTTTTCCAATAGGTTTGACATAATTTCCTTTTTTCCCCCAAGAAAGCTTAAGAAAATTGTAAAGCAGTAAATTTTAGGATTTGTTTGGATGTAAAAAAACGCCAACTCTAACATAGTTCTCCTCCAGGCAAGTGAAATGGCTGGGTGATATATTTCTAAGAAATATGGCATAATTTACATTTTCACAGTACATACGCTGAAAATTAAACTGAAGCATTGGCAGCAAACAAACTGTTTAGAAGATYTGGCTGCTATAATTTTCTACATCTGTTTCAAAGATGTGCAGGATTTAGGGACATCTTTGGCACATATTACAAAACACAACCAATTCAGCGCTGCTCCCAAATAATAATGGTGTTAAAGATAAAAAAAGGCTGACACTATAAACCACTGTTTCGTCCTTAATGGGCTCCTGTACTTACTTGGTGGTCCTAAATGACAAGAAAGGCGAGATGGGAGACCAATGGTGTGTGGAAATGAACAGCTCCTATAATTTTATATAATTCTGAACCACTGAAAATGCTGCTAACTCAAATGAGAACAGCAAGGCATGAGGAATACCAGCAAGCTGCAATGGTGTTCATTTTCTGTAAATATATGTTTGATTTTCACATATAAATCAGTTGTATAAGCGTTGTCTTTGACACTGTATTAGAAACTTGAATCTTTCATTTTAAGGTTCAACARCCATTTGCAAAGCAGATGCCATTTAGCAGTCAAATGTTTTAAATGAAATCCCGTAACAAATGAAAGTTTTCACATTTAAGTTAAAATTTCAGTTTGTATCATGCYGTCAATAATTGCATTTTAGTTTGTATGGCTGCAAACTGATCATGGGATTTGTGCAGATAGAGTTTACCCAACACCATTCAAAAAGTCACCAAGAATTTAAATAATACTGGGCTAGAAATACCGCAAAGATAATAATCTCTCACATAATGACCACGATTTCCTCATTTTTTCTATGCATCTGCATTACACACTAGGGTTGGGCAATATTGGCAAAAAAAATTAATCACGATTAATTGTGGTATTTAGCCGATAACAATTAATATGACGATTAATCCCCTGGAGTCCCTGGACACCCTTATGTCCTAGTCAAATGACCAATTTAGTGGGAAAAATTTGCTCTTCATAAAAATCTGTTCCAAATTGTGTCAAAATTACAGACTTTAGGCTATACATCAACTTTTGTATAAATTACAGAACTTTTTAAAAATGTTTTGGTCATATTTGAAGCAGAGAGGAGCACTGAGCAGACTGACCGGAGTAATCCCCAGTCAGTCTCCCGGGTGGCATTAATCGTATTAATCGACAAGTGCCAAAAAAAATAATCGATTAATGTTTTCTGACGATTAATTGCACACGATACAATTATGCCCAACCCTACTCCACACAGGAAAATAAAAGTCTTGTCATATCTGTATTGGTACAGTTCTTAGAAGTAACCAGAAAGACACAAAAATTGTCCTCTAGATAATTACTGCAAACATTTGTTCATATTTTAAAGGCATAAAATCATGTCTGACTTTCAAGGGCAGATAAATGTACTTTTAATAAAAGTGAAAAGRCTAAACTCTTGATTGAGAGCTCTGCCTGGGATGTGAATATTATTCCCCTGTCTGTAGMCTCTTTTGCAAAACACTTCAAGCTGGGCCTATCTTCTTGCCATCTCAGTGTTTCTGAAAGAACTGTGGAGACATGGGGTTTGGAGTCAACATACAGCTGTTACACCTCTGAGCTGTCAGATAAGCTTGCAATAGAGTTGAGACTGATTGGGAATTTACGAACASCCAGAGGAAACTTAAAGAGGGGCATGTCCTTGTAGTGATATCCCAGAGCATCTTATGAAGACTTGAAATAAACAAACTTTAGATGTAAGCATGTATAGTTGTTTCCTCTTAGGAAACTAAATGTGTCTTTTAAAAACGTGTGGCCCAAATACAGATTGTAATATAATCTGCTAAGATTTCTGTACCCTGTTATATGATTATGTGTATTTCYCTAAACTGTTTTACATGAAAGTTGAATTTCATGTTTGTATTTRGGTGATTTTGAGAGTTTATAAAACTGGGCTTTAATTGATTACTTGCATTCCCCTTTCCCTTGCTCTTCCATTTTCCTTCTTTGTAGTCTATTAGTATAAAAATGTTGGGTTAAACGCATCTTTACTTGGTGATTCATTTACACACCTCCGCCCTTTAACATACTCTCCCATTTTCTTTGTGTTTGTCCCTTCTAAACATCGGTGTATAATGAACAACTTTTCAGGAGAGATGCTTATAGTGTTGGATCCAGTCTGTCTACAAGGAAACCCCGACTGTCAAGCTTGAGAGCACAGGCTGCTGACAGAGCTTGAACTTGAGKGTCAAAGGATGAATCTGCTGTGTCACACAAACACATGGAACTGTGAGAAATGCCTCCCAATCTGGGGTACAACTCATGCCTGAATTGCACAATGGAGAGTCATTCAAAAGTGTGACTCTAGCTAAGCCTTTACTGTTGGTTRGACAACAATTCTTTTAATCGATAATAAATTCTACTGGCATTATCCTAAAAGTGTCTCCAACAGTTTGAGTAATTAGCTGTGTTTCCATTCAATTCTAATGCGAATTTTGAGYGAATTTTTAAAATGTCAAAAAAGGGAAAAGGARAAAATGCGAATCAGATGTGTTTCCATCAACTGGCTTGGAGTGAATCAACTAGGCTACACAAAGTGTAATTACGTCACAYGTTGACRTTWCACATGGCTGTGGTAAACAGGAAGTAAAGTTGCAAACTCGTGGGGKCTACACATTTCAGGACAATGGAGAGAAGTTATTCAGGAACGTGTTGCTACTATCAGGAAAGTTGTAATTATTCTGTCATATCAACTAGTAATAGCAATGTTACATGCTGTCTGGAGACGTAGAGAAGGAAATACAATTCTCTTCACATTATGGGAATACCCAAGAAGATGCTGACATCTGGAGGAGGGTCCAACTGCAGCCGCCGGTAGAATTATTGGACAGCGGGAACAGCTGATTGAGGTTAATGCTCGCTACATCAGAATTGATTCTGCAAATCTGTTTCCATCTCCCCTTTTGCACATGAACTCTTTTTCAGAGAATCCAAAAACCACTTCAAGCGAGCGTATAAACTTTTTTGCAAAATTGAGCAAGTTTTTGCGAATTTTGCCATTTCCAGCCAACTTTTCTAATGTGATACTTCAAAATATGCATAAAAATAACGTTAATGGAAAGATGACTAATGA